CTATCCCTGTGGAGGAAGGCATGGAGGACAGTTCTTTCACGGTGTCAGGTTCACGGCTCAAAAGAGCAAACAACATGAAAAAGGAAAAGATAAATAAACAGGATTCATACCGTAAAGGTGTATAAATCTATGGGACGCTCACAGCTTGAACACGGGATGCAAGTTTGGTCCCTCCTTCTCAAAAAGGATGCCGCAGAAGTAGAAAAGAAAGAGAAGGGCAACAAGGGTGGCAGAACGAGGATGCCACAGAAGGGGACGTGACCTTAGAGAGGAACAACCGAGGTTAGACATGAAAAGAGAAGCACAGAATGATGAGCAATGAACAGAGTGGAGAAGGAAGTACCGGTTTGCACAGCACGGTTCTTAAACTGCAGAACTCATTGCACGCCAAAAATATAAATGGGTTCATAGAGCTCTTAGGTCGAGCTCAAGGAAGAAAATTTCATCGGGGCTGGGAATCACAACAATGAGCATTCAACCTTTGACTCAGGAAGTACCTAAACGGCAGGTGGCCAGAAGCCAAGTGTACACTAGACGCTTCTCTAGCGGTCACGGACAAGACGCTGAGCTAGATGGGTACCACCCTGTGTTTTTGCGTACAGTTATGGACATTTACAGCCACGGCTACTCACGCGAGTTTCTTTCCTATAGACCAGTCACTCCTATCAGGAGAACTTCGTTTCACCTCAGTAAGCTATCACCCTCCCAAGTCTTTTACACCCTTGTATTGAACCGTATCTCCTAGTCCCTCTAGCAGGTTTGAAAGAGACCCAGAAACAGCCACTTGGGCCTTTTCCCCTCTGCAGACCACTGACATGGTTTCACCTTCCCAATCTGTTGCAACGGTTCTTCAACCCCGCGGAACCAAACCTCTTTCTCTGACAGGAGCAGAGAGCTACAATTTCTCTGCAGGTCAGCAAGACAGAGGGGAAGACAAAGTTGGCCTGTTCTGTATATCCTCAGCTCCTCCGTAAACTGAAACGTCTTCTCATAGTCTGAGCGTTCAAGTCAGCTGACAGAGTTCATCTTTCTACCTATTTATACAGAAATCCATGAGAGTTATGAGGAACCTTCTTCTCCCACAGAGTCGTCCCCTCCAAACTACCGAACTTTCACATTATTTGACTGAAGATATTCAATTTCTTCTCTCTGTGCATCACGAGTAAGGGTGGACAGCTCTTGTTCACGTCCACGCTTTCCCACGTTCTCCAGCTAGCCCTATCGCACACCTACACAGATTACTTCCTCAGCGATTCGCAACCCTTTCATCTTCTTCCTAAATCTTACAGTTGAAGTCCTTGCTGCAGTTGTTAGTACATTCTAAAACGGCCCAAACTTCCAAGGACCCCCTTGTTTCCTGGAACCCGCTGGCCACGGCAGGAAGCTCACTGGCATCCTCTTCCCTCTGCTTTACCATTCTAGCTGCGTGTCTTGCAAGCAGACCTCTCACTGTGATCTCGTCAGCTGGTGAGGAGCTGCTCTGCCAACAAGGCTTTCAGATCACACCTCACATGGCTGCAGACCCTGTTTTTCTCCCAAAGCCATCATTTTTTAGCACCCGTATATGTACGTGAAGCCTTTCCACCTCTCAGATCTTGGTTTCTTTCCCATCGATAATGTGCGTTAAGGAACACGTCTGTTGCTTGGTCTATATTCCGAACACTACCTTTCAACTTACATTATTTTAGAAACCGAATCCCATCTCTTACACCAGCATGGCTAGCTGGAAAGCCAAGGTCTTCCGGGCCGGGCGGCTCGCGAGGAGTACTGCCACTAGAAGACTCAGGCGGCAGCAGCAGCAGCGTCAGGGAAGCCCCGGGGCCCTCCAAGCCCTTCTTCCCTCAGCAGGTATCACTGGAAGCTCTTCCTCCAGGCCATGCCCTCAGCGCTTCTTCAGGCTACGCCCGATGCCTCTGCGAGTCGCCGTCCCTCCAGACGCGCTTCCACCGGGCAAGCTGCTGACACC